CCCTTCCATGCTTTTCACACCCCAGCCCTGATGTCTGACCTGCTGTGGCTGCCCCTGTTCTCCTCCCAGCATCCAAACTACCCATTGATTATCTCAAACCTCTTCGTAGACGAGGAGGCATTTCTGGAATCTTCCCAGCTTTTCTTTCTGACCATCTTTCCTACTTCCCCTTCACATCTGGACAACTCTTGTTTGTGTTTCAGGTGTCTTCATTGTTGCAGCCAAGAGAACTCCTTTTGGGAGCTATGGGGGTTTGCTGAAGGACTTCACAGCCACCGACCTGACAGAACATGCTGCTCGAGCTGCCCTGGCTGCTGGCAAAGTCCCTCCTGAGATCATCGACAGTGTGGTTGTGGGCAGTGTCATACAGGTTGGTCCCATGGCAAACGTGCTGGTCAGGGGTTTGCTCTGCTCTGGAGAGACCTCACCTGGGGTCCTGGGGCAGCTCTGGAGTCCTCAGCACAGCAGAGCCAGGGAGCTGCTGGAGCGGGGCCAGAGGAGCCCCAGCAATGCCCCGAGGGGGGAACCCCTCTGCTGGGAGCCCAGCAGGAGAGAGCTGGGCTGGGGCAGCTGAGAGGAGAAGGCTCCAGCTGGGGAGACCTGCTGGGGGCTGCCAGGGCTTCAAGGGGGCCTAGAAGAAAGCTGGGGAGGGACTTTTGAGCAGGGGCTGTTGGGACAGGACAAGGGGGGATGGTTTGAAACTCAAAGAGGGAGATTTAGACTGGAGAGAAGAAATGTTTGACCCTGAGGGTGGTGAGCCCCTGGCCCAGGCTGCCCAGAGAGGTGGTCGCTGCCCCATCCCTGGAACCATCCCAGGGGAGGGTGGATGGAGCTCTGAGCACCCTGCTCTAGCTGCAGATGTCCCTGCTCCCTGCAGGGGGGCTGGACTGGATGATCTTGAAAGGTCCTTTCCTACCCAAACCACTCATGATTCTATGATTTGAGAATCTGACAGTTGCCTCCTTGTCCTGTAGATAGTTACCTCTGTTTTGTAGACAAGAATTAGACCAAAGTGGTGGAAACCAAATGGGTAAGTAGTATCTCGAGGCCAAGTGTGGGGAGGAGCAGCTGAGGGAGCTGGGGGTGCTGAGCCTGGAGCAAAGGAGGCTCAGGGGAGACCTTCTGGCTCTGCACAGCTCCTGACAGGGGGAAAACAGCCTCAGGTTGCCCCAGGGGAGGTTGAGGTTGGCCCTGAGGAGCAATGTCTCCCTGGCAAGGGCTGTGCAGGGCTGTGCCAGGCTGCCCAGGGCCACATCCCTGGTGGGGTTCCATTGCCACGGAGATGTTTTGGGGGGCCTAGGTGTGACAATCTCTTCCCTGTGCCCTCCCCAGAGCTCCTCAGACTCCATCTACCTCGCCAGGCACGTGGGGTTACGCCTGGGGGTCCCTGTCCCAGTTCCTGCCCTCACTGTCAACAGACTTTGTGGCTCTGGTTTCCAGTCCATCGCCAACGGGTGCCAGGTACAGAACCCTTCTTGTCTTTCTCTTCCTTGGGGAAGGAGTTTTCTGGCATTTGTTCCTACAGAGCAGTGCTCTACAACTCCTTGCACAATCCCAGGGGATTTTATCACTCTTTCAGCAACCCCAGACTTGGGTTGGTTTGTTTTCCATCCCCCTTTCGGCTCGAGAATTACAACACCCTGCAAAAATCTCTCAGAGAATTGGGCCCTTTCCCATCAGTGCAGCTTCTGCTGCTGGGTTTTCTCTGGCACCCAGCAAAGCTGCAGCTCCTCTGAGCTGCTTAAACGTGCACAGAGGTTTTTTTGGGGAGCAGAATTTTTCAGGGGTCTGATGTCACCTTGAAGAGTGGAGGGGTTTGGGGTTCTGTTTGCTTTGCCCAGAGGTGAATGAGTGCATTTTGGGGGTTTCTTTTGGCACTTTTCCCAGCTGATGTTTCCTAAAATGATGTCCTGTGTCTTTTTAAGAATCATAAGATGTCGTTTTGGGCTCTGAGGTTTAATTTGTGTTGGTTTGGAGAAGATTTGGAGCTCCAAAAATACCCCTCAGCCATTTTTGAACCTCACCACACACGCATGCAGGTGCCGGAGGGGGGTTGTCCCTCCATCCTGCCACGTGTGCACCCCTGTTCTCTTCCTCCCTCGCTGGCAGAATCATTCCTTGCTGAGAGGAGGGAGAAGAAACATGTGGGAGAAGAGACAGACCCCAAATTTTAACAGAAGGGGAAACTTTTTGTCAAGGGTTTTAGCCGCCCACGTGGCTGAACTTGGGTTCGTCCTCTGCGTGTGGCTTTTTCTAGAAGAAAAAGGCCTTTTTTTCTAGAAGAGCTGTTGGCTTTGTGAGCCAGCAGATGACCTCCTAAATCTGCTTGGCTTTTCTGCCAACAGGAAATTTGTCTCAACGATGCAGAAGTTGTTCTGTGTGGTGGAGCTGAGAACATGAGCCAGGCGCCTTACGCCGTTCGGAACATCCGCTTTGGGACCAGACTGGGAGCAGAACTCAAGGTCTGGGAGTTCAGTTTTTGCTTTTCTTTTCTTAAAGCTGAATAAAATCTTGTGGGCAGAGGTTCCACCAAGTCTTCAGGGGTGCCACTGGGTTCCTGCCCTGAAAATAACTGAGTTATATACAGCAGAACTTGACTGCTGACAGAGAGGTGACAGATCCTGTCTGGACTGGCAGACGATGCTGTTACCCCCCAAGGGAGTGGGAGTGAGGGTCTGCTCCAGGGTTGGGAGGCTCTGCAGAGGGATCTGGCCAGGTTGGATCCATGGGATGAGGTCAGTTGTGTGAAGTTTTAACAGGGACAAAGGCTGGGTCCTGCCCTTGGGTCACAGCAACCCCCTGCAGGGCTCCAGGCTGGGGGAGAGGGGCTGGAAAGTGCCTGGTGGGAAAGGACCTGGGGGGTTGGTCAACAGCTGGCTGGCGGGGAGCCAGTGTGTGGCCACGAAGGCCACCAGGCGGATGGCGTGGCGCGGGA